CTTATACCCCCCAAAAAATGTCAGTTTCACAAATGAGCAGTGATCTACAGTCGTTCAAATACACTAGAAAAACTCAACTTCAAACAAGCACACATAAACAATGAGTAAGTTTCTTGATTAATTCACTGTTACTATGTTCTTTGAGGCTTATAATTCATCTAGATGAATTGCCAGTGAGTCAAACAAACTCTTTGTTCACAACTAATTTTGACCCCTGGTTTACAGCAATCACTTTGATTTTAAGATAAAATGAAAACTGTAGTTTATAATCATTTTATGACACTGAAAACATATGATAACATGACCCCAAATTTCTGAGCTTTGCATTATTTTTAATATCGAGAGGGAACATAGCTTGGGACAGAGTGGTAATTTTGTATTCATGGTCCCCAACCCCCAATTTTCCAGATAGGGAAGCCAGCTAAAAGAGAAGGGGAAAGTATAAGTACATATATGGACACATGCACACACACACACACACACACACACACACACACACACACACTGTATGAGTATTCATTATCCATTATCCAAAATGCTTAAGTCCAGAATGGTTTTGGATTTATTTGATTTTTGAATACTGTCATATAGATACTGAGATATTTTGAAGAAGGAACCCAATTCTAATAGCTTGAAGGTCATTTTATACAACATGTTTGATAATTTCATGCATGAGACAAAGTTTTGATAGCATATTGACTGTAACCCATTACATGTGGTCAGGTGTGAAATTTTCCTCTGTTGTGTTAGCACTCAAAATGTTTGGGATTTTGAAGCTTTCAAATTTAAGATTTTGGGGTTAAGGATGCTCTATCTGTATACAGGCATACCTCATTTAATTGTGTTTTGATGTATTGTGCTTTTCAGATATTGCATTTTTACAAATGAAAAATTTATGGCAATCCTGGGTTCAGCAAAGCTATTGGGACCATTTTGTTTTTTCTCAACAGCACATGCTTACTTCAAGTCTCTGTGCTACATTTTGATAATTCTGGTGACATTTCAACCTTTATAATTATTATCATTATATCTATTATGGTGATCTGTGATTGCTGACCTTTTTGCTATGCTTGTAATTGTTTTGGGGCCCCATGAACTGCACCTATGTAAGATGTTGAACTTAATCATATAAGATGGTGAACTTAATAGATAAATGTGTGTTTTCTGACTGTTCCATCAATTAGTTGTTCTCCCATCTCTCTACCTCTCCTCAAGTCTCTATGTTCCCTGACACACAACAGTATTGAAAGTAAGCTAATCCAGCAAACCACATTGCCATGTATGTACCTATGCAACAATCTTGCATGTTCTTCACATGTACCCCAAAACCTAAAACGCAATAAAATATATATTAAAAAAAGAAAGTAAGCTAATCAAAAACCCTAGAATGCCTCTTTAAGTGTTCAAGTGAGAGTTTCACATTTCTTTCTTTAACCCAAAAGCTAGAAATAATTAAGCTTAGTGAGAAAGGCATGTGAAAAGCTGAACTAGGCTGAAAGCTAGGCCTCTTGTACTGGTTAGCTAAATTGTGGATGCAAATGAAAGGTTGTTAAATAAAATTAAAAGTACTATCACAGTGAATAAAAATATGATAAGACTGCTAAACAACCTATTGCTGATATGAAGAAAGTTTTGGTTAACTGATGATCAAATCAGCCAGAACGTTCTCTTAAGCTAAAACCTAGTCTACATAAGGGCCTTAACTCTCTCCAGTTCTAGGAAGGCTGAGAGAGGTGAGGATGCTGTGGAAGAAAAGTTTTAAGCCAGCAGAGTTTAGTTCATGAGGTTTAAGGAAAGAAGCCATCTCCATAACATAAAAGTACAAGGTGAAGCAGCAAATGCCAATGTAGAAGGTGCAGTAACTTATCCAGAAGATCTAGCTAATGCAAGTGGTGAAGATGGCTACATTAAACAACAGATTTTAAATGTAGATAAAACCACCTTTTATTGGAAGAAGATGATATCCAAGACTTTTGCGGCTACAGAGGAGCAGTCAATAACTGACTTCAAAGCTTGAAAGGACAGGCTGACTCTCATGTTAAAGGCTGATGCAGCTGTTGACATTAAGTTGAAGCCAATGTCCATTTACCATTCTGTCTGAAAATTCCAGGGCCCCAAAAAATTATGCTAAATCTACTGTGTCTGTGCTCTGTACATAGAACAACAAAGCCTGAATGACAGCTCACATGTTTAAGACATGGTTTACTGAATATTTTAAACCCACTGTTGAGACCTACTGCTCAGAATATAAGATTTCTTCCAATGTATGACTATTCATTGACAAGACACCTGGACACCCAAGAGCTGTGATAGAGTTGTGCATAAGATTAATGTTGCTTTCATGCTTGCTAATACGACATTCATCCTGCAGCCCATGAATCAAAGAGTAATTTTGACTTTCAAGTTTTATTATTTAAGAATTATATTTCATAAGACGATAACTGCTATAGATTGTGATTTCTGTGGTAGATCTGGGAAAAGTAAATTGAAAACTTCCTGAAAAGGATTCATAATTCTAGATGTCATTAAGAACATCTGTGCTTCATAGGAGGTTGTGAAAATATTGATATTAAAAAGAGTTTAAATAAAATTGATTCCAGTTCTCACAGATGACTTTGAGATGTTCAAAATTTAAATGGAGAAAGTAGCTGCAGATGTGTTGAAAATTATGAAATAACTAAAATGAGAAGTGGAGCCTCAAGATGTGACTGAATTGCTAATCTCATAATAAAACTTCAATGGATGAGGAGTTGCTTCCTAAAGATGAGCAATGTAGTTTCCTGAGGTGGAAACTAGTTCTGGTGAATCTGCTGTGAACATTGTTGAAGTGACAACAAAGGATTTAGAATGTTCCATGAACTTAATTGATAAAGTAATGGCAGGGTTTAAGTACGTTGATTCCAAATTTGGAAGAAGTTCTAATGTGATTAAAATGCTATCAAACAGAACCACATGCTATAAATAAATCTTTCATGAAAGGAAGAGTCTATCTATGTGTCAAGATTCATTTTTATTTTAGTTTAGGAAGTTGCAATCACCCCAACCTATAGCAACCACCATCCTGACCAGTCAGCAGCCATCAACATCAAGACAAGACTCCCCACAAGCAAAATATGATCACTCTCTGAAGGCTCCGATGGTTGTTAGCTTTTTTTTTTTAATATATATTTTATTGCATTTTAGGTTTTGAGGTACATGTGAAGAACATGCAAGGTTGTTGCATAGGTACATACATGGCAATGTGGTTTGCTGCCTTCCTCCCCCATCACCTATATCTGACATTTCTCCCCATGTTCTCCCTCCCCAACTCCCCACCCCCCACTGTCCCTCCCCTATATCCCCCCCCACAGATCCCAGTGTGTAATGCTTCCCTCCCTGTGTCCATGTGTTCTCATTGTTCAACATCCACCTATGAGTGAGAACATGTGGTGGTTGATTTTCTGTTCTTGGTTGTTAGCTTTTTTATTTTTATTTTTTGAGATGGAGTTTCACTTCTTGTTGCCCAGGCTCAAGTGCAATGGTGTGGTCTTGGCTCACTGCAACCTCCCCCTCCTGGGTCCAAACAATTATCCTGCCTCAGCTTCCCAAGTACCTGGGACTACAGGCACATGCCACCACATCTGGCTATGTTTTTATGTATTTTTAGTAGAGACAGGGTTTCACCATGTTAGTCAGTCTAGTCTCTAACTCCTGAACTCAGGTGATCCACCCCCCTTGGCTTCCCAAAATGCTGGGTTTACAGGTATGTGCCACCACACATGGCCTAGCATTTCTTTTTATCAATAAAGTATTTTAATTAAATAAATACATTTTTACACATGCTATTGCACACTTAATAGACTATTATAAAGTATAGGCATGTAAAAGTAATATGCAGTGGGAAATAAAAAAATTTGTGCGACCCAATGTATTGTAATATTTGCCTTTGTGGTGGTCTGGAAACAACCCAGAATATCTCTGAGTTATGCCTGTTTTTATGTGTGTATGTATGTGTGCATATATATATATGCAGACACACACATAAATGCACACATATACACACATATACATATATGTGTATGAATACATATATGCACACATATACACGAATACATATATGTATGTATGTTTACATATATGCATATATACATATATGTATGTATGTTTACATGCATATGTACAGGTATTGATCCACTTACGACCTATGCAACTTACAACCATTCAACTTTACAACCACAATCACTAGCCACAACTGCTCCGCCTCTGGCAGCGCAAACATTGCCCAGCTGGGTGTACGACAGTGCGGACCAGCTTCAGGCAGCACTACCATCTCTGCGTGCACCATTTCAGCTGTTATCCCAGACTCGGTACAGCAATTTGTGTTTTGTGTCTTGGATATTTTTCATCAAATCCCTCCCAATAAACTTCTTATACATTTCGAAGCAGTGGACCCATACATCGAACGATTTGCAAGGATTGAACGGATGGCGCACGATGTGTTTCGTCCGTATCGTGAAATTTATGAAGAAAAAAAGAAACACACAATTCAGACAAAGCTTACCATGTTTATGAAAAAACCAACTCCGGTAACCCCAATTGCTGCCTCAGATGACGACATCAACGATCCGCAGCCAAGCACCAGCGGCCAATAAAATGTTTCGTACTTGTTTATATATTTTGATATGTTTTGCAATGGGGAAAATGTTTCCTATGGTATTTTTTACACCTGTATTTTGTATTTTTGTATGCACCTGTATTTTGTAATTTTGTATGTTTTGCAAATATTAAACCAGTTGTACTGGTAATGCAGTGTTTTACTTAAACCTGACGAATGTAAAAATAAGAAAGAAAATGGTGTAGAGATGATACAAATGGCATAAAATGAACAAAGAAAGTTATGATATATAACAATAATGAAAGAAAATTATGATAAAATATGACTTAAAGATTTTTAGAACATCATTTCACAGTACCGAACATATAGCCTACTCAACTTATGACCAAATCATGTTACGACCGGTATGTCGGAACCAATCATGGTCGTAAGTCGAGCACTGGCTGTATGTATATGTGAACATATTTGTGTGTGTGTATATCTATAAAATATAGCCAGTCTGTAGTAGTAATACAACACATGTTTCTAAACTAATGCTGGGCTTATTCCGAGTCTGTGAAAACTGCAGCCACCTCTAAAGCTTTGTTAAAATTTTTCATTTTACGGAAGTGATCTTAATCATACAAATGTCAAATATCACATGTTTAATATAAAATAATACCGTATTTTAAAGTATATTATGCATCTTATTTTGTCAAGTTTTTAGAAAATATTTTGGTTAAGATTGTGACCTGGGCCTGTAGTATTCTTTATTGTTTATGCTGCACCATTAAAAGCATGACTGTCACTGATTTAGGTGGCATAAGGAAGACAGACAGCTGGAAAATAGGACAGATGATAAGAATTATTGAACTGCACCAGACCAAGGAGGATTCATCAAGAGAACAATGATTATTTATGAGGCAACTCTCAATTGCTCCCACTTTTCACCTACTAGTAGTATGTAAATTTAAGGTAAGTCACCTCATTGTGGACATAGAAAAACTAAGAACATTTTATTGTCAATTGGACTTACTTGAATATGAATTCATCATAATTTACTCTAAGTTCATATCTCACATTTTTAAAGAAAAAATGTAGATGTTTATAAATTTATTTTTATAAATCATTATGATTTTCTCATAGGTAGTAGATATTCTAAAATTAAAAATATATGTATATTTACAGTAATAAAACTTAATTATTAAGCTCAATAATATTTTGGAGCAATTACATCTAGCCTTTTTATAATATATTCATAGAGGTATGCATACACATTCCTCTACCCATGAGCACACATTACTTAAATATTATTAAAATGTTATAACTTGCATTTAGGGCCTAACATGATATTTTGAGTATTTTCCAGGTCATTGGAAATTCTTTCTAAGTAATATCGTGATGAATATATACAAGACCATAACATTATATCACAGGTTCTTTAAGCATTCTTCTACTGTTGGACATCTAACTTTCTTCTAAATTTTCTATTGTAAACACTGTTGTTACAATTTTGGTATATTAATTATTATTTTATGTTTCTGATTATGTATTTAAAGTATATGCCTAGATATTGAATTCATTTATTAAATGATATATTTTGATATTTTAAACACATATGACCCATTTTTTCTACAAATTATTGATGGTGTTCGTATGGTTTCTGACTGGTCTAAGCTTTGTGGTTCTGATACAAAGCTCAGGTATTAAACTGATTTGCTCACATTTTCAGTATGCTTCCACCAACTCAACTTAGGGTACTGTAGCCAAAAAACTAGTTTTCAGCCACAGGTATGGTTAAATGCATGACCTTTAGCAATTGTTTCTTGTAGTTGTTTTAGATTGATAATTCTTTCTCCCTAACAATTCTACATAATATATTAAGAAACACCATATTTCAAAAAATGATGCTGAATTTAAACAAACTCTTTAAGAATAGATTTATTTGGCACACATCATACTTTCCCTCCTACATTTTGATAATAGATCATAATTTAAAACTTCTTTGCTCACTTTCAGAAGACTAGTCCAAGTATTAAATTTAGGATTGAGCTAGACATCACCAAGTTTACTGAATGACTGAGTTTGATGGTTAATACAACTCAATTGAATTGAAGAATGAAAAGTACTGATCCTGGGTTTCTCTGTGGGGGTGTTGCCACAGCAGATTAACATTTGAATCAGTTGGCTAGGGAAGGCAGACCCACCTTTAATCTATTGAGCACAATCTAATCAACTGCCAGCAATTACAAAGCAGGCAGAAAAACCTGAATAAGAGAGACTGGCCTAGCCTCCCAGCCTAGGTCTTTCTCCTGTGCTGAATGCTTCCTGCCCTCAAACATCAGATTCCAAGCTCTTCAGTTTTGGAATTCAGACTGGCTCTCCTTGCTCCTCAGTCTGAAGACAGCCTTTTATGGGACTTTGTGATCATGTGAGTAATACTTGGCAAACTCCCCTTTCTATATATACTTATAAATATATTCCATTTGTTCTGTCCCTCTAGAGAACCCTGACTAATACAAATGTTGGTACCAGTAGTGGTTCTAGAGGAACAGAATGTTAAGGATGGATTTTTTCATTGGTTTTGGGGTTCTGGAGTTGACTACTTAATACAATTAGACCTAAAAATGTTAAGGACTCTACTTCTAATATGCCGAACACTGATAATCCTTGGTGTGAACTGTTTAGAGAGTTATGCAAAATAAATGCATTTGACACTCCTGATTCACGACTTGTGAGAGGCAAGGAGTTTAGCGAATGTATACATAATACCTTTAACCATATGTGGAGAACCAAGGTACATAATGAAGCTGGTTGGTTGCTTCTAAGTTCAGTAGACAAAGTGATGAAAGAAAATAATGAACTCAGGGATTCTATCTCCTGGCTTCAGAAGCAAATACTGAGCCTCAAATCCTCTAAGATTGCCCTGAGTGAGAATCTTACCTCCTGTAGAGAAATAGCTGAAATTGCAGAAAAACAGACACAAGCTCTTACTATGCAAGTAGCTAACCTGTAAGGAAAGGTGCATGCACAGCCTCACCAGGTGTTTATTGTTAAAGTGAGGGTATCAATTGAAAATGAATGGGACCCTGGAGCTTGGAATGGGAACATATGGGAGGACCCCAATGAAGCTGGGGAGACTGAGTTTGTAAACTCTGATGAACATTTTTTGCCAGAAGAAACAGCTTCCCCATTCCCAGTAGTGACAACATGCCCTCCTCAACCCATGTTGACATCAGCCTTTTACCTTTGACTGAGGAGATAAACTCTGTGTTGCCTGAGGCAACAGCGATGGCCTCCTCTGAGGCAGCTGTCAGGCAAGATAATGTTGATTCTCTTCAGGAATCACCTACAACACCACTGTTTGCTTTTAGACTTATAACTAAAGTCCCGGTAGGTCCCTAGAGGTGAGGTTGAGAGTGTGACCCATGAGGAGGTGCGCTACACTCAAAAATAACTGCTTTGGTTTTCTAATTTATATAAACAGAAATCTGGAGAACAGGCATGGGAATGGATATTAAGGGTGTGGGATAATGGTGGAAGGAACACAGAGTTGGATCAAGCTGAATTTGTTGATTTAGGCACAGTAAGTAAGGACTCTGCATTTAATGTCATAGCTCAGGGAGTTCAAAAAGGTTCTAATAGTTTATTTGCTTTGCTTGGTTAGGTGAAATATGGACTAAAAGATGTCCCACTGTGAGCAAATTGGAAATGCCTGATCTCCCTTGTTTAATGTAGAGGAAGGGATCCAAAGGTTTAGGGAGATTGGGATGGTAGAGTGGATCAGTCACTTTAGACCTACTCATCCTAGTTGAGGGGTCCAGAAGATATGCCCTTGACCAATGTCTTCTGAAATAGATTTTTGAGGGCAGCACCTGCATGTTTGAAGAGTCCTATAATTGCTGTTCTTTGTATGTCAGATCTAATAATGGGAATCACAGTCACTAAACTACAAGATTTAAATCCAATGGGAATGATTGAATCCTGAAGTGGCAGGAGCCAAGTGGTGACACTCAACCATCAAAGGCGAGGTGGGCATAGCTACCGTCATGGACAGCAAAAGTAAAGCAGCAATTAGGATAGTCTGACTCTGGTAGAGCTCTGGCACTGGCTAATTAATTGCAGTGTTCTTAGAAGTGAAAATGATAGGCAGTCTACTGCATTCCTACTTAATTTATATAAGCAAAAAAACCTCTAGTTCGAATAGACAAAAGCCTAATTTGAATTATAAAAACAGAATCATGGCCATTCAATCAATTTCAAGACTTGAGCCAGTTTACAGGCACAAAACCCCTTGAATGAAGAGAAGGCCAGATCCCTTTGAGAAAGGACCCCACTACATTACCAAAACTTCTGCAGTGAATCTTTCTCTCATCCTTCCCCAAGGAGACCTCTGGCCTTTTACCAGGGTAACTGTGCATTGGAAAAGGATATGATCAGACATTTCCGGGTCTACTGGACACTGGCTCTGAGCTGATGTTGATTCCAGGTGAAGCAAAATGTTATTGTGGTCCCCCAGCTAAAGTAGGGGCTTATTGAAGTCAGGTAATTAATGGTGTTTTAGCTCAGGTCCAACTTACAATGGGTCCAGTGTGTCCCAAGTCTCATCCTGTGGTCATTTCCCCAGCGCCAGAATGCCTAATTGGCATAGACATACTTAGCAGCTGGCAGAACACCCACATTGACTTCCTGAATGGGAGGTTGAGGGCAACTATGATGAGAAAGGCCAAATGGAAGCCATTAGAGGTGTCTCTACCTAGAAAAATAGTAAATCAAAAACAATATTGCATCTTTGGAGGGATTGTGGAGGTTAGTACCACCATTAAAGACTTGAAAGATGCAGGGGTGGTGATTCCCACCACATCCCCGTTCAACTCTCCCATTTGGCCTGTGAAGAAGACAGATTAATCTTGGAGAATGACAATGGATTATCATAAGCTTAACCAAGGGGTGATTCCAACTGTAGCTGCTGTACTATATGTGATTTCATTGCTTGAGCAAATTAACACATCTCCTGGTACCTGGTATGTAGTCAATTACTTGACAAATGCCTTTTTCTTCATTACTGTTCATAATACCCACCAGAAGCAATTTGCCTTCAGCTGGAAAGGCAAGCAATATACCTTTACTGTTCTACCTCAGGGGTATATCAAGTCTTCATCTTTGTGTCAATCTTATTCGGAGACCTCAATCACTTTTCACTTCTGCAAGTTATCACACTGGTTCATTACATTGATAACCAAAAGTCAATGGGAAGCTACAACAACCCAGTCCGTTATGGTTCAAACCTCTCAGGAATGTTTGGGTCACACCACCACCAACAACAAAAAAGACCTGCTGAGGTGCTTGCTGATGGTTAGCAGAAGGTAGTCATCAATACCAACTACAACCAGCAACCAGCTTCAGAAACAAGGACTGTAACTGTCACGAGTATTTCCTCCTTCCTTTGTTAAAAACATATTTGTGCACGATACACTTGTACTAAAAAAATCTTCATTTTATTTCCTTTTCCTTTATGATGTGACATAAGATTTATTGACTTAATATCAACATTTAGGTTTTGTTAAGTTTATGTAATAGGATTTGAATTGGGGATTGGTGCGTTTCTGGTTGTATGAAGGATAGTTGTATTGTTAGGTGTAATTATGATCTTATTATTTTATTTGAAGATTGTGTATGATCTCAGGAGATGTGTATGGGTTCAAGTTGACAAGGGATGGAATTGTGATGGTTAATATTGAGGGTCAACTTGATTGAATTGAAGGAGCCAAGGTACTGATCCTGGGTATGTCTGTGAGGGTGTTGCCAAAGGAGATTGACATTTGAGTCAGTGGACTGGGAAAGGCAGACCCACCCTTAATCTGGTGGGCACAATTTAATCAGCTTCCAGCAAGTATAAAGAAGGCAGAAAAAAGTGAAAGGAGAGACTGGTCTAGCCCCCCAGCGTACACCTTTCTCTGGTGCTGGATGCTTCCTGCCCCCAAACATTGGACTCCAAGATCTTCAGTTTTGTAACTTGGATTGTCTCTCCTTGCTCCTTAGCCTGCAGTCAGCTTATTGTGGGACCTTGTAATCATGTGAGTTAATACCCAATAAACTCCCCTTTATATCTCTCTATCTATATAAATACTTAATAAACTCTCCTTTATATCTATCTATATAAATCCTTAATAAACTCCCCTTTATATCTATAAATAGATATAAAGGGATATAAATAGATATAAAGGGGAGTTTATTAGGTATTAACTACATATATATATATGAAGAGGAGTTTGTTAGGTATATATATAGAGAGAGAGAGAGAGAGAGAGAGGAGAGACAGAGAGACAGATAGACATAGATATATAGATATGTATTTCATTAGATCTATGCCTCTAGAGAATTCTAACAAATAGGCTGAACTCATTGCATCTCATTTTAAAGTTTTTTTGTTTTGTTTTGTTTTTTAAAATTAAGACAAGCATAGGAGGCTTTTTTTTTTTTTTCAACACACTTTGGATCTTCTTAGATTCATAAGAACATCTAGAAACATAATCAAATCCTAGGATTTCTGCCACTTCACTGTGAGAATTTCTGCAACATTTTTTCCTCTAAATCCAGAAGCCAGAAGCTTATCTTGCAAATAAGATCTGCTTACAGACCCAACGGCAGCTACTAGTTCGTCTTTCCTGTCTTTCCACTTTAAAGAGTAAAGAAAGAAAAATCATATGCATTAAGTGTATCCCAGGTGTTCTCCCATATATAACTTCATCCTCAGCTTTCCTCTGAAAAGTGAGGATTATCAGTGCCTTTATCAGAGGAGGAAACTGAGGAGTTGAGGTTTTGAAGTAACTTCTGCAACAACATTCGGGTAGCAAGTAGCAGAATGTGTCTGACTCCTCAAGCTGTTTTTTGATGCATGACACGAAGATGTCTCTAAGCTCCTGACAGTTTTTATTCTCTGCTTTCAAGTCCTGTTTCTTTGGAAACCTCTGAACCAGAAATAGAGGGATTACTGTCACACTCTGTCTCTCCCCACTGTCTGCTGCTTACCCACCAAGTCAGCCTTTCCAAACTGGCATTCCCTTCATCCTTCTTGTCATGCTGCAGACTGAAATAGAAAATATGGTGGGATTTAAATAATTTTTTTGCATATTTTCCACAGAACTAGGTTTGTTAAGATAGTGAAAAAAATAGAAAGAAAGAAATACTGTTTTATCTTCCTTATGAATTCAGCTTATAGATTAAGAACATGTTTAAATCTATGTGTTTCAGGGAACACAAGGAATTCTAATCCCACTTAACATGCACTTGATGCACATTTGAAAATTTGTTGTTCTTATCAAATCATGAATATAAACTCATGCGTTCGGACAGACATAGATCTTCATATAATATTATAGAAAAAAATGACTTCTAAACATTATAGAACTTACCTTATTATAGATAGCAGAATTTCCGTTATTGTTGAAGATCTGAAACTAATTTATTATATAATTTAGTTTTTTTTTTCGCATTTCTGTGTTTCCTTTGTTTTTCCCTCCTTTTTATGTTTGTCCTGAAAAGATTTAGTAAGTAAGCCATGTGTCAGGGGTTGAGAACAATGAGGTGACTAAGATAGGACATTTACTAAAATTTACTCTGTCAACGTTTCAGGAGAACATTCATAAATGTCAAACATTCACAGGGACAATAACACCTAGGATTTGTTTAGTATGTGAAAAATCACAATTAATTAACTAAGTCATTTGATATTAACAACCACAAAAAGTAGGGCCAACTGAGCCAAGATACTACAAAATCTGCTGGCTCTTTGTCAGATTGGGCAGAGGATCATAAACATTGCTTCCCATAGATATTTTAAAAATAAATTTCCAGAGAAACAAAAGCTGTTCCAGGGGATGATGGAATCCCAGTTTATCTAAAGAGTGGGGTAGCTGATGTCCTCCTGTATAGAGCCACCATGATTCTTTCAGTTGATAGAACAGCATATGCCATATATCAGCTGGCTACAGCTTCATTTCCCAAGAAGCGGCATTGACTTCAATCATTCCAGCAATCACTTGGTTCAGTTTCATTCAGCTCTCTAAGGACCAATAATCTGATAAATAACTGAGCTCTTCTTTGAGGATTAATATTTATTGACTTGTACTAAGTGTCACCAATAAAGCAGTCTTTACCATGAAAAAAAAAAGGTAGGGCCTCTTATACTCATTTAACTGATGAGGAAACTAAAGTTCAGATAATTTTAGTGACTTTCTATATATCACACAGCAAGTAACAGGTGGAGTCAAATTAGAATGCTAGTCTGTCTGGCTGCAATGTCTCTGGTGAAATATGTACCAACCATGGTCTTTATTTCCCTTTATGCCGTAATATTGTTTTTCTTCTTTAGCTAATTAAACAAACATAATATTTTAGTTACAGAACATTAGATTTAGAAAATCAAGAACCCTTAGGAATATATTGCATTAGTGTTTTTAATCATAAAACATAAACTAATTAAATCACTTATCAGACATACATAATTGAAATAAAGAATACCAAGTAGAATAAAGTCATTTTATTCCATTGAAAAACCATTTATGGTATCCTATGGGCAAAACACAATTGAGAATATAAAGATTAAATAGATAGACCCCCAGGACTTAGAGCTTAGAGTTTTACTGGGGAGTCAGAGGCATATAAATAACTTCAGTAATATAGCTAATGATTTTAAATACAGTAAAGAGAGGTTCAGAAAACAGTGTGTGGAGTTTTTAAGAAAAGACACATTAGGTCTCCACAGGAACAATTGAATTATACTTTTTAAAGGGCATTGGATCTAATATATATATATATTTTTTAGACAGAGTTTTGCTCTTATAGCCCAGACTGGAGAGCAATGGCACAATCTCAGCTCACTGCAGCCTCCTTCTACTGGGTTCAAGCGATTCTCTGCCTCAACCTCCCGAGTAGCTAGAATTACAGGCACCTGCTACCATGTCCGGCTAATTTTTGTATTTGTTGTAGACACAGGGTTTCCTCATGTTGGCCAGGTTGGTCTCAAACTCCTGATCTCGGGTGATCCGCTCGCCTCAGCCTCCCAAATGCCTGGGATTATAGTCATGAGCCACCGTGCCCAACCAATAGTAATTTTTTTTAAATTAATAAATATTGCTTCAATAAATAGGCAGAAGCCATTGAAGGCAGTGTGAATTGTTTGAGCGAAGGTCATACCTAGTGCTTTAAAACTGTTTTCACTCATGATCACCAATCTGTAGGTGACTAACCTTGGCAAAATGTCCAAATATCTTTATCTAACGTCTCAATAATGACAACAGTAATATTATAATGAATATTTAGTCACATCAGTAGGCAAGAGATACCAACAAATTCCTTGCAAACAAAAAGCATTAAGAGGTGACGTCCAATGAAGCAGAACAGGAGGAATCATATTATACAAACCCATTCTCATAATAATGTCATCAAGTAGACTCACAGAAAACCTTGTGATTCAGCAGATATCAATGGTTGGAGGACTGGGAAATTAATGATAATTATGCCACTTGATCAATCAAACATCCTTTTTTCTTTACTGAAACTATGATATTTACAGTAGCCTATCACATACCCACTAGGCAAAAAGAGAGAAAGAGGTTGGGAAGGGGGGAGATGAAAGAAAGAGGAGAAAATTCCTTTTAAAATAGTTGATAGGCCCTACATAAAAATTATTTTTGTTCCTGGCAATAATTCATCTCCTGGTTTAATAATCCACCATTCCTCAAACTCTGCCCAAGTATAGAAAGAAGTACAGGGCAGAAGACAGTAATATTAAGTAAAAGTCTGCATAAGAAAGAGTTAGACAACTAACCTCACTCCTCTATTAGGCTCGCTGAATTCCTGCAATCAAATCCTAGGATTTCTGCCACTTCACTGTGTGACTAGACACCTGGTTGAAATATTTAACTTAATTTTCTCACCTGGAACATGGAAATGATTAAATTGATATGACATAACTGTTGTGAATGTTAATAACAATTACTTAGTTAAAGCACCTAGCAGAGGGCCTAGCATTAAGTAAGGAAGGAGTCAATGTTTGAATGCCCTACTCAAGTAAAGAGGAGAGCTCGGGCTCTGTAGGGACTGACCTTAGGAATTGGTAGCTGGTGCAGAAGTGAGATTGACTCCCATTTCTGAACACAAGGGGAAAAACCACTATATGGATTTACCTATCTAATCCTCAGTCTGCTCAAACTTTATTTATTGATAGCATCCTCATCATATGAAACTCTACTCTGCTGCAATCAATCTTCCAGTAACTTCAGGCAAAATATGTATGTTTTGGTCTGAATCTATAAAATAATGACATCACCTTTCCTAATCTACCCTTTCAATCTGATTCCCAAGTATTTCCTTGTTTTTGAAGCCTCACTCCATTAAAGCTAATTTCCAAACTCATTTTGTCTATACCATGTGTAGTCTTCTTTCTTCATGAAATCCTACACCAGTGCTGAAGGCCCAGCTCAAATACTAGCTTAGATACAATCAACTCTAAACTCTTTGGAAGATAGTCAGTTCAAAATATGTCTTAATTAATGATACCCTGTATTTTTTATATCTACACTATTAATTTCTTAAAAAATTGCATAATTTATCTTTTAAAAAATTGTACTTGTACAAATTTACTGGGTACATGTGAAACTTTGTTATCGGAAATTATATGCAGTGGTCAATTTATGGTAGCTAGGGTGTCCATCATTCAAGTACAATACATTTTTGTTAACTATAGTTACCTGACTCTACTATCAAACATTGAATTGATTCCTTCTGTCTGACTGCATATTTGTGTCCTTTAAGACAATTCTCATCCTTCCCCTTCCCCACTCACCTTTCACAATCTGTTATCTGTCCTTCCACAATCTACCTCCATGTGATCAAATTATTTAGCTCCCACATACATGTGATAGAAAATATATGATATTTTTCTTTTTGAGCCCAGCTTACTGCATGCAAGATAATAACCTCCAGTTCTATCAAAGTTGCTGAAAATGATAGGACATCATTTTTTTATGGCCTAATAGTGTTCTATGGTATATGTACACCACATTTTCTCTGTCCATTCATTAGCTGATGTGCACCTAGGTTGATTCCATGTCTTTCTATTGTGAATATTGATGCAATAATGATGTGAATGCCCTTGAGATATTGATTTCTTTTTTTCCCTTTAAGTAGATACCCAGTAATCAGATTGCTGGATCATATGGTAATTTTAATGTTAGTATTTTAAGAAATCTTCTTTCTTTTTTCCATTGTGTCTGTACTAGTTTACCTTCTCACCAACGTATAAAAGAGTTCCCTGCCTCCTCACCAATGCCCATTATTTTTTGTCCTTTTAAATATTAACCATTTTGACTGGGGTAAGATGATATCTCATTGTGATTTTGATTCACATCCTCTGATGATTAGTGATGTTTAGCATTTTTTGATATAACTATTTGTCATTTCTATGTCTTATTTTGAGAAATGTCTATTAATGTCCTTTCCCACTTTTTAATGGAATTATTTGTTTTGTTTTGTTTTTCTCTTGTTTGAGATTCTTGTATATGCTGGTCATTAGTCCCTTGTTGGATGAATAATTTACAATTATTTCCACTTATTCTGCATGTTATTGATTAACTCTGTTGATTGTCCTTTTTGCTGTGCAGGAGTTTCTTAGTTTAATGAAGTCTCACTTTCAATTTTTGTTTTTGTTGCCTGTGCTTTACAGGTCTTAGTCATAAAGTCTTTGCCTAAACCAAGAGTTTTCCCTAAATTTTCTTGTAGTACTTTTATAGTCCCTGGTCTTATATTAAGTCTTTAATCCATTTTGAATTGATTTTTATATATGTTGAGAGATAGGGGTCTATCTTCATTCTTCTGCACATGGCAACCCAATGTTCATGAACTCAGAATCTGTGTATTCTAATTCCTTCATGTTTTGGTGGGATATGATAATTCTCATAGAACATTTGTCACATTAGATTTAATAAAGTGTCTTTAACAAATAGAAAGGTTATACATTATCTTTTTCAGTTTAAAGATCAGAAAAATTAGGTTTGGGAAGGTTAAATGTCATCCCCATATTACACAGAGCTAACTTGCCTACAGGCTATAAAATTGGACTGACCAATTCCTAAGGTCAGTCCCTACAGAGCCCGAGCTCTCCTCTTTACTTGAGTAGGGCATTCAAACATTGACTCCTTCCTTACTTAATGCTAGGCCCTCTGCTAGGTGCTTTAACTAAGTAATTGTTATTAACATTCACAACAGTTATGTCATATCAATTTAATCATTTCCATGTTCCAGCTGAGAAAATTAAGTTAAATATTTCAACCAGGTGTCTAGTCACACAGCAAGTAAACTGGATTCCTAGTGAAGTCTGCCACACTCCATAGCCTGAACTCTTTCCAACTCATCACATTGCCTTCACCTTTCGGGTTTTCTTTGCCATGCACACTCTTTGAATTTTAAAGATATTGATCATGTCATGCTGTCTGCAGGATAAACCACTTCAATCACTTCAACTGCTTATCTCTGAATATTGTCTTCAGTCAGCTCCTCATTTAGCTCCTCTTTTCTGACCATAATACACAATGAACTGTATATCCATATGATCCACTATGACTATATACCTATATGCAGATGTAGATATAGTTGGCTCTACTTATCATTCCCCTGAAACATACTATTGATTTGTTGAAAATAACAGGTTTAACAGTTGCATCCATTAATATTGTAGCTTATCTGAAGCATAGCATGGCAATTTGGCTCTGTGAGTAAATAGAGAATATTCTAATGTAAGCATCATTTTCTTTAATTTTACCTTGGTTGCTGTGCTTTGAAATCAGTGTGAAGAGAAGCAAACAAATAATGTATATGGTGCTGCACAGCATTAAAGACAAAATGTGCTGTAAACAAAGTCTTCATATTTTAAAACAGGGTGAAGGAGCAATTTTCTTTAAAAGCCAGTAATTTGCTACTAACTACTAAGGGAAGACGCTGTTCCTTTGTTGGCCCGTCTTCATTGCCAATCTGTTTTTCTAAAATTGCAAGTACTTAAATAAAATTAAATACAAAGGAGCTCAAGAACATCTTTGGATTTCAAATCCAAAAGAGGGCTCATAATATGTATAATGATTTTGTTCTACATGATCACCCGTAATTTGTATATTT